ATATATAAAATGGATTTATATTTAATATATATATATATATATATATATATATATATATATATATATAAAAAATTACATATAGAAACTGTTATCTCTCTTCCTTGGCTTTTAGCTGCTTATAACAATTGCTTGGATTCTAAACCTCGTTTCTGCCTGTGCCCTTCTTCATCCATTGCAAAGATGGTCCTCTGCAATGGACCATGTTCATCTATCCCCAGGCACTTTTTGTCTCACTGAATGATACTGCCCACTGCTAGATGAATGCTCTTCACAGCAGAGCACTATGCAAGCTGAAACAAGGCTAAAGATCCAAGGGAATATTTTTATTTGATCAGCCAATGACTTGCCCTAAAATTATGAAGATCAAAATGATGACTTTTTAATCCAAAATCTAATATTTTTCTATAAACAACTTTCTTTGATCAACTGAAATTTTAATAAGAATGACCTCTCCTTTGAAGTCCTGAGTTTTTGAAAGACATTCATATACACAACAGTTCCAGCCAGTTTTACATCCTGCGGCTGACCCCATTTTGTGTGGGTGTGCTCTTTTGATTATGTTATACACTTTTTAAGACAAACCACAAGAATGAAGGCTAAGCATCAGGATAAAGGCCACCAAAATTCCACACTATTAAATTTTTGACAACATTAAAATAATTCCAGAGGTTTAAAGTCTTCAAGAAAAATGATAAAACAGTTCTTGAGACTCCTCAATATGCTGGGAATTCCATCACATAGTTTGCAGTGATTGAAAAATCACACATGGGGAGACCAGGACGATACGATGGAGTCAAGCCCCCCTCATCATGTTTTCCCAACCTGGAACAGCCCCAGCAAGCTGCTATTTGCCCCACTGCGGCAAATATACATATATGGATGCTCACACTTAACCTCCCAGACTGAATCTGGTCCCTGCGTGAGAAATTTAAACAACAACCACTGGGAACTGTTCATGAGATTTGCAATGTCTCATGTTGTTGAGCACCTTAGAGCCAACAAGTCAGTGAAATTTCCAGGAGAGAAAAAGCTTTTTAAAAACCCTCAAACACTTTGAGTGCTGCCAGGAAAGCAGTATATACATATTGCAAATAAATGGGGAGGGGGCAGAGATGCAGACAGGCATATAGTCACAGAACCAGAAAAGAGATGATCCGAGACTAAGGAGCTGTTGATTGAGTAAAAGGAAAATCGACTCTAAAACCCATACCCCAACTACATATGTCTAGTTTCTTAGAAAACAAGGCAAAAATCTGAGTTTAACTGAAGACCATGTGCCCTGCTGAATCAGAGCAGTGGTCTATGTAGACCACCATCCTGTTTCATACAGTGTCCAAACAGTTGTCCTGGAGAGCCAGTAAACAGGCATAGAGGCCAAGGCCCTCCCCCTGATGTTGCCTCCTAGCACTGGGTTTCAGAGGTCTACTGCCTACTAATATGAAGTTTTTTTCTTTTTCTTGGCGACTCTGGATCCTTAAGCTAGATCCAGCATTAATTTTTCACCAGTGGAAAGTACACGGGTGGGATGGGAGTGGCAGGCTTTTATCAGTTACCCCCTCCCATTGTGGATCCCCAATTGGCCTCTCATGCTGTTCCTCAGGATTCCCTATCCTTCAGAAGCAGCATTTCAGGGAATTCAGTGAGCTGCGGTGGGAGGGAGGAAAGTTCTGTTCTGCTGATGGAAGTGCCTTCCATTAGCGGAAAGTTGCCACTAGATCCAAGCCCTTATATACAAGTTTTCAATAAAGGCAAGTCCCAAGCCTCCGTTCTGGATGCAAGGAAGGTGCTCTACTTCTGAGTTATGGTATGGCCCCCTCCCCACAAAACTGTGCAAGACTTACCAATATGGCATCGCTTTCCAGTGAAACCAGCCAGACAAGAACAGGAGTAGGAGGGGTTCCCTGTGATGCAGTCCTCAATACACTTTCCTGCATTCTGACAAGGGCGGAGTGTCAGACACACAGAAGCTGCAAGAACAAAGCAGTTAGCAGTTCATCAGATGTTGACACAACCAGAATATGTTGTCGTAACAATACTGGACTGACCAATTATGGCTCCTATTTTTTTGGGGGTAACTAACATACTGAATGGAAGTGCTGAATTTATTTTACATGATTCATCTCAACTGAGGCCATGTACATTTAAACTGGATTGAAGTTTAATAATTATATATATATATATATATATATA